CTATCCAATTGGTAGTCACAAGCCACATGTGGTTAATTTATTTAAAATAAACTAAAATAAAGATTCAGTTGCATAGTTGCATTAACCACATTTAAGTGCTCAGTAGCCAGCCATATGACTACTGGTTTGGGCAATGAATATGATTTCTATGATGACAGAGAGTTCTGCTGGGCAGTACATAATTTGAGGAAATAACAAACCTAGAGAAAAAAAAAAAGAAGAGGATGCATTAGAACTTGACTTTTGAGAGATCTCCTCTGTGAAACAAAATTTTGATATTGAACTCAACCACACTCCATTTGTTAAAAGAATGGCTAATATTAACCCATAGAAAACGTACAAACCATTCATAATGAATGAAATAAGAGATAAATGTTGAGAATCTAAGCAATAAAATCATAAAGAAAAATGTTGGTAGTGATAGAGGAGAGAAGGGTGAACACATGAGGTTTCTTATTGTCTCTATAGGACAGGGGTAATGATATATAAAGAGACAGAAACTGATAAATGCAGCTAATAATAATAAAGAGGAAAATGGTACATGGATAAGTTTTTTTAAAAAAAAAAAAGATTTATTTATACAAGCACTGGGTACAGTCAGAAGCACGGGAGGATGAGAGAATTCACCAGAGCCAGAGCGGGGAACAGAACAGGCAGACGGATGAAGTACACTGCTGGGGGAGCAACAGGCGCAGCAGAAGAGGTCTGTGTGCCATGTGGGACCCTCGCTGGCGGCCAGGGATCAAACCTGCGCTGCAGAGGCTGTGGGCAGCTTCGCAGTCCAGTGCTCAACCTCTGCACCACCAAGGGAGGCCCGGTACATGGATAAGTTTAAGAACTACGAAAACAGTGAAAATTTTTACCTCTTTTGATAGGAAGTCAATAAAGACCATTCAAAGTTCATAGACTAATTAGCAGAAAGATGACACATCACATAAAGTAAGTAGCAACAAAAAAGAACTGAGACATTATTAACAATAACTGTCTTTAGACAGCAGCATGGGGTGCTTCCTCTTCATTGTGTATCTGAGTGGTTTGTTTCATGAGGGAAATGTATTTGCCTCTACAATAAAAAAGGCTTTTAAAATGATTATTATAATGTCATAATGTTATCCTATAGAATAAAGTCATTCTTGATTGTTGATCAGAATTATGTCAACTGCTTCCTGAGGTAATCACTCTTGAAAGATGAGCATCTCACAAAAAATTAGTACTCATTAGATAAAACTTGAAATAAATGTAGCATAACAACAGTCTTTGAAACAGAGTAGAAAGTTAGAACTTCAAATTATATCCTGTACTCTCAGTCTTTGAAGTTAAAGTGTGAGAACAGATAAGTTAGCAATACAAGATTGGAAACACTTCAATTTGGAAGAAGAGAAATAGGTCTGAATGATTCAAAATCCTCCCTTCATGTTAATTTCTGAGCCCAAGCAGATTTTGCTAAAGACTGAGAGAGAAATGTGCAGCTCTCTTTGGGGACAGACTGGCTGTCCCTGTGCTCAGTGGTTCTTGCCAGAGGGAGAAGCTAGAAGTTCAAAGTATTGTGAGAATGACTCTTCTTGTGGTAGTTCTGGTGTCCTAGAATTAGGAAAGGCCATAAATCTCAGGAGAGGGCCTGTTTGTACAAAAGTTCCAGCCTACATTTCAGACTCCTGAGTTTCAGATGCATTTTGTTATATTCCCAAAAAACAAGAACATTTTGAATACATCTCTCAACTAGGCTCAATCTCCATATCTTCATGGTTTGTCCATTATTCAAGCTACCAAGAATGTTGCCTAATTTATAGTTTGCAACTATTTTAACAGGCTCATCTGCATTATTAAAAGCTGCCCATATTTTGGCAGATAAGCCACTCGATTCTGGAAACAGTGCTGGTCTCTTAGATTTCTTTTTGGAAACTGTCGTAGATTTATGGTGGGAATTACTCATGACAGCTGCATTCTTTCCACTGGGTTTAGACCACTATTGGGTCTAATAACTCCTAATTGTGTGTCTAACATAGTCTAAGATTCTTCAGAAGAAATGGGGTGCAGGAGAGTTTTGAAAATCCCCTCCAGCAGTATTCAGTGATTTCTGTCAATGATAAACACTATTTTGAAACTTAAGACAGTCAGCTGATGATGAAAAAATAAAGGACACTTGGTGAATATGGATTTCTTCAGAGCATCTTTCATTACTGCTGCTAATGCCAGTCTGATTTAAAAAAAAAAAAAAAAGTAAAATGATTGGTTTCATAGTGTTCCCAAAGTATTTTTAGCATAATGGGCAAAATTCCTGTTGACATTCACAGTCATGGTATTTTCTTGAAAGAAGTATCTCTCAAAGTGATTTTTTACCAGATTTCACCAAAGAACAACATGGGTACCTTGAAGACATTGCTCGTTTAAAATTCACACAAGGCCTAATTATATTTCCAAAATAAGTAGTTTCCAATCCAGCAAGGATAATGTGGTCACAAAAAGGATGTCCAAATCCACCAATTTACATTGGTTTGGTTTGGCATGATGTTCAAAGTTCTTGGAGTGAAGGAGGATGATGGCACGTGAATGATTGCAATTTGGGTAATAGTCCCAGGACTTTGGGTTTGCCATTCTGTGAACCATTCAGGGGAAAGCTAATCAACTTCAAGTCTGCACCTATATAGTTTATAACTACCAAAATTCACTGATATGTTCCAGATTATTCTTGCAAAATGTAATACCCTCCTTTTTAATATGTACTTTGTCATTTTCACTCTATTTATGTAATTTAAAAAGTATGATAGCAGGACAGCATGAGCCATTCAAAGCAGGAACCACTAATGTCAGAGATTGGTATCCTTCACAAGATATATGGTGTTGATATCTCTGAATCTAAATGACTTGAAAGTTGTGTCAAGTTAGATTCAAATTGCATCTAATATGTTTTGTTTTACTTCCTCGTACTTTCTGGTTTCTATCTTAAGCCACAAAGCAATTTCTCTACAGTGACTTAGTTCTACAACCACAGTGGTGGCACTGGTCTGAGTTACCCTGCCTGTCTCCATTCCCAGCCCTCCTTCCTTTTATCCCAAAAGAAATTGGGTTATAAATTTAGGATGAGACTGCTTTCTTTAAACAGTATAGTGCTTTCCAATTGCTCATATGAAATATATCTAACCCACACTGTGCTTTCAAATGTTTTTGATTACTGCACTTTAAAAAAAGGGGGAGGGACCCTTCTCATGTTGTAACTTTAAATTTCCATAAGAGCAAAAGAAAGTTTTGGAATACTAGGGAATTCAGTAATTGAAATTCAGTTCACAGCTCTAGACCACAAATGCATTTCAATAACATATAAAATAATATTGGAAAAGGAAGAGTTCTATGCTTCAAAATGGAAATGAACTTGATTTTATAACTTGTATAAAGAGATACGCTTATTAAAGTGAGGCTTAAGTCCTTAGTTTTAATAAAATTTGTTGGAATTCAAGATATTTCATTTTTTATTGACCTCTGGTTTTAGCCCGACTAATTAGCAAAACAAGTTAAACAAAAAATATAGAGTAACTTTTCTTATTTTTAATTATATTAGATGTTAATTATTTCATCTTTAATCATTATTTTAAATAAGCCTAATTGGACTAATTCTTTAAAATTATATTAAGCCTCTTCATTTGAAGAAGATGCCATTGATATTTCTGTTTTCAAAAATATTCTTTTCAAATTTCCTCAGAATAACTAATAACTCAAGGAAAAAAGTCAGGACCATTTCCATCTGTCTGTTTGTAGTAGTGAACAAGATGGCATTATTCACCATTTGTGGTTTGAATGACCTTTGACTTCTAAGTCCAACGATATTACCCAAGATGTCAAAAGTGCCATCATGAAAAATTTACTGTAAGCAATATGAAGCCACCGAAGGTGACTTCCAAAGTATATTCCTTAATGCCTACCTGTTCAGAAAAATTATACATACCCCCAAAAGTGAAAATTTTTGAAACGGGCACACCTACTTGAATGTATAAGTTTAGTATTTTTTAAATCTATCACATTATTTAAAATTTTATAGGTTAAAGTTAAATACAAAATACTCTCTAATGACAAAACAAGAAAAACATGCTTGATAAATTATAAATTTCTGGTTATATGTACATAAACTAAAAGAACAATATGGCCCAATACTAAAACTAGCAATCAGATATTAGAAAAATTTTAATTAAGATAATTGGCACATTTAAGTTGTCAAATGCATATGTACTTCAAAACTAACTGTGATATCCTTTCATTTACAGACCTGTTTTGTGCTTCAGGAAGAAATAATGTATTTGATTATTATAAATTTACATATCATAGACACTTGCAACACACGCAAATAAGTGTCCCACTCATCTCATTTCCTCACAAATTCACAGCTCCTGGGATGGGCCAGAGACTCAGAAATTTATTATTATATTATTTTAGAAGTGATACCTCACACCAATGTATACATTTCAATGTATACATTTCATTATCCCAAGTTACTCTATATTTTATTGGATGAAGGAGTAAAAACCATAGTGAGGATAAATAGGCAGAACAGAGAAAGACAAATGGAGCGGGGAGGGAGCGAGAGAAGGGGAGAAAGGAGGAAGGCTTCACAAATGCCTTGGATTTTATTTCATCTTTCAAAAGGGGCCAATAATACACCTGTACATGAAGTTTCTTCCCCTACTGTCACCCTCCCTCCATTTTAATTCCTATCTTTTCCTTGAGAATGAATCAACCTATTGTAAAATCTCATGACATGCTATCCACTGATCTCTTATGGTCAACTTGACTCAAATTTGTTGATGATTAACCATCATTGAACTTCATGATTAATTTATTGAGATTGAAATATTGAAGAGCACTCATTTTAGGATACAGAAATTTGTTTTCTCTGTGAGGAAGTGACAGTTGGGGTAACTTACTATTGTCTTCTTTCCCATATTTATGTTTTTCTATTATCTTCTCAGATCTTATATGAATGTAATATGCATCCTTTTTTTTTTTTCCAGGTCTAGAGGCCGATGGCATCTATCGTGTTAGTGGCAATCTAGCAACAATACAGAAGTTAAAATTCATTGTCAACCAAGGTAAGTGATTTTGTCATTTCAGACATTTTTCAGGAGTTTTGTCTCAAACAATATTTGAGTCTCTATACTGTGTAATTTGGGAATATAAATGATAAAATGTTCTGATGGGAGAAAGGAAAGTTGAAGAAATTAAACAACTAAAAGAGAGAATGAAAAATAGCTATAGCACTTCAAGATGAATGGATTAGAGAGAGGGACCAGTTACTACTTTATATGAAAAATGTAATTAGTGGAATATGACAAATTAAAAATGGAGGAATGAATAGCAAAAGAGAAAAAGGAAAACAGCCTAGCTTTGAAAAATATTATTGGGCTATAACAGATACTAGAAAGAGAAAGATAGGTAAATGAATGATGAAATATGTGAGTTGAAATTATAGATATTAGCAAAATATGTAATAGGTAAGTAAAAGGATCAAAAATTAGTAAATATATCTTTAAGGAATTACAAATTAAAAGAACAATGATATACCACTACACACATATTAAGCAGACTAAAATCTAAAAGACTGACAAGATCAAATGGTGACAAGGATCTGGAGCAATAGAAATTGCAGTGGCAATGAAAAATGGTACAACTCCTTTGAAGATTCTTTGCAGTTTCTTCTGAAAATTAACATTCTATGATAATATTCAGCAATGTGCTCCTTGGTATTTATCCAAATGTGTGCAAGACATGCCCACACAAAAACCTGCACAGTAATTTTTCCATATGCTTTATTCATAATGTAAAACTTGAAAGCAACCAAGATAAACTTCGATAAGTGGATGGATAAACAAAATACAGTTCATCCATATGATGGAATGTTATTTAATTATAATAAGAAATGAGCATTAAAGTCACAAAAAGAATGAGCTATCAAGTCATAAAGAGAATCGGAGGGGACCTCGATGCATTTTGATAAATTAAGCCATATTGAAAGACTATACAATACTTTATGCCAATTGTATTACAATCAGGAAAAGGCAAAGGTATGGAGAAAATAAAAGCAGTGATAGCAAAGGATTTGAGGGAAAAGAGGAATGAATAGAAGAGCACAGGGAATTTTGAAGATCATGAAACCATTTTATTTGATATTGATACATGTGATGATATACCTGTCAAAATCTATATAAGGAACCAAAATAGAGTGAGACTTAATGTAAGCTATGAACTTTAGTTAATGATAATGTATCAATATTAGCTCAATGTTACAACCAATATACCATTTTTTTTTTAAAGATTTATTTATTTATTTATTTATTTATTTATTTATTTATTTATCATTTATACAAGCAATGGGTACAGTCAGAAGCGCAGGAGGGTGAGAGAATTCACCAGAGCCAGAGCGGGGAGCAGAGCAGGCAGAAGGACCGAAGTACACTGCTGAGGGGAGCAGCGGGCGGCAGGAGAGGTCTGCGCACCATGTGGGACCCTCCTCTGGTGGCCGGGGAGCAGCCGGGGATCGAACCGGCGCTGCAGAGGCTGTGGGCAGCTTCGCAACCCAGCGCTCAACCGCTGCGTCACCAGGGAGGCCCAACCAATATACCATATTAATGCAAGATATTAATAACAAGGGAAACTGGGGGGAAGGGGTAAATGGGAACTCTCTACCTTTTGTTGTTTTTCTGTAATCCTAAACTTCTCTTTAAATAGATTATTAATTCAAAGCATAAAAAAAGGAAACACTGAAAAAAAGCAAGAGTAAATCATCTTAAGGTGGTGCCACAGATAACAGATATTACAATCAGACATTTGAAGTAGAACCCACGCAGAGTTCTTCTTGTGTCCTTGGCATTTTTATCTAACATCTATGTGCTTTGTTTCTTATCAGTAGAAATGGGGAAAATACCTTGGAAACATTTTTGAGAATTAAATGAGATAACACAATCCATTCTCTTAGAATGTGAAAAAATCCCTGTTAGTTCAATGCATGTAAGTTTTCCTTTCATTTACAGTCAATGATATTTCATTACCTTCAGGAGAATTTACACAAAGTCTTCATAATCTGGCTTCCCATCTATCTACCTTTGAGCTACCTTCAAATCCTCTAAATACATATATATCACAATGCATTCCTAAATGTACTCTCATATTTACATACTGTTGTATTTCTTCAAGTCTTTGTATACAGTAGTCCTAGCTTATGCACAGTCAGCTTATCTCCATTTCACTTATCTGCTATCAACAGGGATCTGAAAATATTATATACAGTATTTCACACAGAGAGAGATCATATTGTCTCCAAAAACTTTTATTTTTTTAAAAGATTTATTTATCTATGCATACAAGAGCTAGAGTGGGGAACAGACAGGCAGAGTGACTGAAAAACACTGCTGAGGGGAGCAGCAGGAGAGACAGGAGAGGTCTGCTGTGCCATGTGGGTTTCTCACTGGCCAGCCAGATATTTAACTCATGCTGCAAAGGCTACAGATTGCTTCATAGTGTGGTGCTTAACTCCTTGCACCAGGGAGACCCTCCAATAACTTTTAAGAGTTAAAATTTGTCTTCTTTTATTATTACTTACCGTTCTTAATTTCTTACTATTTCCAATTTATAAATTAAACTTTATCATAGGTATATATGTATAAGGAAAAACAGTATCTATAGAGTCCCATAATTTCCAAAGTTTCAGATATCCACTAGAGGCCTTAAAATACCCCAGGGATTAGGATAAGGGCATGCTATTCTCTTGCCTACACTATTGATATCCTCCTGTCTCTTCTCCCTGCCCCCCCCCCCACACACACAAGCTTCCTGCCTCGTATTTTTCTCCTTAGTCTTTTGCAACCAAATTACAAATATTGTTTTTCCAGGAAGTGTTCAAAAGTCCAGTCAGATTATTTATCTGTGTCCCCTTTATACTGAGTAGCTGAATTTACAGCAGTATATAGACAACAAACTCTTTAAGTTCCATCTCTTATAAAATCCAGGAATATAATGTCATCTTTTAGAGACAATGTAATCAAATGTACTTAGTGATTACATTTCAGAAACATTAAAATCTGTAAATCTTGGAATATGAAAACAGGATACTGGTTGAAATGCCTGTATTTTCCATAAATCTCTATATATTTTAGCAGGACTTGATTTATCCTTGAACCTTCTCCCATTATCCAGAGGTAGTCCTGAGACCTCCACAGAGATTTCATAATTACTATTTGTTGAATAATGGGTATGAGTGTGTATGTGTGTGTGTTAGATAGAAGAAGTATTAATACTGTGAAACATTAAACTCCCCAGCAGTTCAGTTTGGGACAGAACCATCCTTTTAAGTGTTGCTTATAGTACATTTACTCAATCGCCACACAATTCTTATTTCAAGAATTTCTATAACTGAGAATTTCCACACCTCTGTCTGCTCACCAGTGTGACCCTTTTGTCTTTCACAATTACTCTCCTTTTTGGGCAAAAGAAAATTATAGAACTAAATTTTATCTCATTTATTCACTAGGGCCCTGTTGGACTGAATGAAAGTGTCCCCTCTATGGATTAAAAAATGGATAAAATACCCCAGCCTCATTTTCACTTCTGTTTACAACCAGCTAAAATCATTCTTGTAATATTTTTCATGCTGAAACCATATCCTGATTGGGATTCTAGACAGCTGGGCAACACATTTCTTCTACAAAAAAGAAATTTCAAAACAGAAGCCATGCTAGAAACAAACACTAGTTGCATTTCCTGCTTTAAAAAAAAATTATGCTCAGCAGTTTGAATAGGCAAAAAAAAAATCTGCAATGAAAATATGAAATATGTCCATCTCGTCTTTTGCAATCCCAACTTCAGCCTCCTCCCAGGCTGCATAAGAGTTTCTGTAAGAGTTGACAATGTAAAGCTGGACAGAGGCCTGAGTTGGAATCTGGGAACATAGAATTGTCAGTAAACTGGTCTCCCTGGTCTGCAGCACCGCCAGACTAGACACACGTGACACAAATGATGCTGTATCGGGCCTTTCAGTACTGATAATTTTGTCCAAGTTGTGTTGTGGAGTTTATCTTTTAATTAAATTACAAAAGAAATGTGTATATAGTCTCTCAAATTTTGCTAATCAGATTATCCTTTGACTGAAATGTTTGGAAAGGAGCATATCCTTGGTGCTGCCACCATACCTTCCCCTCCGTATCCACCTCTGACAGCAGAGCTTAGAAGAGAATCACTGGGCTGCTGGGAACAGTGTATACAATGTGGCTGTGTGTGCACGTGTGGTGTGTGTGTGTGCATGCGTGCGTGTGTGTGTACACACACAATGAAGTAAAGTCTTCATACAGTGATGATTTTATGAAAAGCATAAAATCGTGTATGAATGCAATGCATTCTTTTTGTATTCAAAGAAGAAAATAAATGATTTGGGCATACTCTATTTGTATTAACACCTTTTATCTCCTTGTTGTTCACATTCTACAATGTTTCCTTTTCAGAAGACTCTAAATATACATTTTTCAAATGAACAAGCCCTACCCACCATTAGGATAGACAAACGAAAACTGATTTGGGGGATTTTCAAGAACAGTTCAATTGCAATTTATGTATTTCACTAACTTTCTTGAATGCTATAATCATCAGCAATTCTAAATACACCAGTTGAATGATTCAATTTGTTTTGGTTTTCTGTTTGACTCACTAAATCAGTAGGAATTGGATACCCTTATTATACTTCCAGATCAGATGGCATACAAGTTAAATTCAAAGTGATCACTTTTGAAAAGTATTTCCCAATTATAACTAGTAAATATGATGAGAATAATTATTATTATAAAAGTAGCAGCATATTTTCATAATTTATCATGTGTCAGGCATTCTTCTAGCAATTGCTTTACTTATATAATTTATTTAATCATTTCTAGAGGGACTGTTATTGCTCCCATTTCAGAGATAAGGAAACTGAGACTCAGAGATGTTAAATAATGTCCTAAGTTCATAAAGAACGCACATGAGGGACCTAGGAGTAGACCTCAGGTCTCTCTGACTCAGGCACTATACTGAAAAGCACTACTGTGATTCTGCATTTTCATTCGTT